AAGGAAAATATCCTATTCTTGTCTTACTCATGGGGGTCTAAAAGTGACCACTTACTTTACTTGATGTTTCATCAAATAAAAACTTTTTGAACCAGTCCGAAACAAATGTGGAGATGCTCAGAGTGAAAGCATGGCTGAGTTAAAAATTTACTCCTCGTCTACAAAGTTAATTGAAATACCTATTTTTCTTCGAACAGACACATTCTGTCTTTGTTCTAAAGGAGGAACAATAAATCCAGACGTAGCAGCTGTTAAGAGATCAAAGTTAGGAATAAGTAAAATTAACACAAAAATTGTTGCAACCACTAATTAAGAACCAAAGTAGTACCTGGCTTCTCAGTGTAGTTTTTAAATGTGCAAACAACTGGATCTTTTCCACAAATGCTGACCATTTTCCCAACATGATCACCAAAATAAACCTTCCTCCTATAGATTGAAATGAAACTTAGACATTCGGAATAGTAAAGAAAAAAACAACAAAAGGGGAAAATTGACTTACTTTACTACAGGAACTCCACAGAAGCATACGTCATTTTGATCTGAAATTAAAAAGACAGACATGAAACAAATTGAACAGATTACCAAGTGGAATGCTACAGAGAAAATTCACATGCAGGCAGTTTGTGAGGGGTTTTGGCAAATAATTTTCAGTGGATTCTTAGAAACAGTTTTACGTGCAGTTTTAGGCTGGGATTTGGTGGGTGTCTTATACTGAGATTTGGAGGGAGTTTTAGACTGAGATTTGGAGGGTGTTTTGGTTGGGGTTTTTCTGAGAGATTTGGAGGAGTTCTTTTTGGTGGGGGTTTTGGGCGGGAGGGTTCCTGATGATCCAGCAACGTTGTAAAGTGTGTCAACCCAACGGAATATTTTCTTTGGGCACTGAATAGGACATCTGAAGAAGTCTCTCCCAAAGTTGGGTCCTCCAGGCCTCTCGGATGTCCGCCTGAAAATTCACAATGTAAAAACAATAACTAGCAATAAAAATAGAAGCGGATTTCTCAAAATCTTGTAATGATAAAACAGTTTACCTTTCACAAAAATTGCCACAATTGCATTTGGGAATGTATGTATCGCACTTTCTTGTATTTGGCATGTTCAATCGCTCATTTGACTGTATTACTGTCCACAATTCAGCCAACTCTTTATCATAATCATTTTCCCCTGTAACAAGAGAATTTTCAATTAAAAACAAAGTTATTACCTATCAGAAAGATTGCCACAGAAGCATGTGGGAATGTATGTGTTACACTGACCTGTTGAATTTGTTGTGATTGATGGATTAGTTGGCTGTAGTGAGTTAAATGATTCAGTTTCCCCTATGACAATAGAGCACTTGATTTAAAAAAAGACAAATTTTACCTTTTACAGTTGGAATTGCTACAGAACCTGGGAATAGATGTCTTACCAAGTCCAGTTGAATTTGACTCTGACAGACCCCGTGACTGTGGTGCCATCGACACGTCAGATAAGTCTGCATCAGTCTCAACTTCCATTGGGTAACAAAAGAAAAGTAACAGTATTAAATTAATTACATTGTTTTGAGTCCTGCCACTAGAAGCAAAATTTCAAAGAAGTCTAATATGCTTGAATGACATGTATAGTGGGTATATGTGCTAAGCCAAAAATATGCACTTACTCTTTACATCTGAGACTGCAGTATGCATTTGATGTGCTGTTTGATCCTCATCATCTGATGAAATGCAAATTATATCTGGGTCCTGCTTCTCTGATGGAGCGGCTCTTGCAGGACTGTTTTGAGCATCAGAGCATGCATTTTCAAAATTATCATCCTCTTCCGAATCAAATTCCTCAATTATACCATCTTCATTGGGAACTATATTACTTTCAAACACCACTGTTACAAAACATTATTACAGATATAGATAGATATATTCAAGATTTGACAATAAATACAAACAGAAATGTAAGGAAATGTTTGCATACTTAAACAGGAGGGACACAATAACATGAGCTTGGTTTCACCATGCACATTCATTCGTGACTCTTTCCACCTTCCCATCTCAGAGCAGACATGACACTCAACTGTGAAAAGAAAGATAACACAATCAAATCATTGATTTAAAAGTGCAATGAATGACATCAGGTTGAATAAATTCACCTACCTTTCTCTTTACTTGTTTTTCTTAGACCAATCTTAGTCAAAACGCGACCCTTAGGTCTACCTCTAATTTTTAAACTTTTGGGCACTTCCATTTGGTTTAACATATCCTTTGACAAAGGATAGTATTTCCTATTTTGAGACACTGTACAGAAGGAAGAAAAGTACTCTGATTAATGCAGTTTGAAGTATGCAATACTGTATGTATGTAAATTTCAAAACTTTTACCTCCTAGAACTTCCTTAATCGCTTTATTCGTCTGGGCGTTGCAATTTTTGGGGTCTGCAGTATCCAAGTGCGCATTAGTAGGAATGCTTTCTCCAAAATCTAGAGCACAGTGATAATTTTTAAATTTTTCACATTATTATACAACACATTTTGATAGTGTAGTGTAAACCAACTCAATCAAAAAACCAAACACTGATATTAGAACAGATGTCCGAAGCTTTTACTTACCAGAATTCACATGCACATCAATGTCACCGGTTCCATCATCTGAAAAGATAAAAGACTACAGTTTTAATGCAAAATAACATACAAAGCCACAATCATTTGGACATTTTACGACTTCATGTATATTTTAACAATAAAGTATGTCAAACTGAACAGTACCAGCACTGCAGTGATTCTCAGTTTCAAAGGATGCATCGTGATTCACAACACTGGGCTTCTGTAAGTTGTCATTGACGGAACCATCAGATGTATCAGGAACATTAGGAGGCTTATCATTCTCACTTGAAGCAACATCTCAAATAAATCACATTACATTATGATTGGAAGTGTAACTTGCAATGCCATAGAACACGACTAAATAGGAAACACATGCAGCTTTAACAAAAATGGTCTTTTCATAAACTTATTAAATCTTACCAGAACTGATTTCAACAATAAGACCGCCACCCTCACTGTCTCCTACAGCTTCCAAAATAACAACATCTTTGCCTCGACGCCAGATTTTCATCATTTGGTCTAAGATCTTCATCTTTTTAGCATAATCTTTGCCACCATGGAGTGCAATTAGTTGGGCGGCTTCCAAGGCTAACTCAGAGGCCTGCTTATATCTTTGATTCTGGCTAAGCGGTTTCCCTCCTGTCTTGAGCACTTCAGTGCCAATGAAACCTTCAGGAATGTATGATGAGGCAGGAGGTTCATCAATTCTTTCTCGAAATCCCTCTACTGTTAGCTTCTGCCATCTTGCTGGCACGTCTGCAGGCGAGAAAACATCTACACCTGCAAGTAGTACAAGGTATACATTTTAATCTCAAATCTCAAATAAAACAGATACAAAATGAAATAATAGAACAAAGTAAAAAACATTACCTTTTAAAAGGCGAAGGGTAAACATGTGGCGGCAGGGTAGGCGTCGCTCACAATAAATTGGGCAGGGGCATTTATTTTCGGATGGCTTCCAGTTCCTAAAATTGATATTCTCTGGTAAGCCCAACCGTTTCCGCCCCTCTTCATATTCTATCCGGATACACTCCGCAGCAAATGATGTAGCAGACGCCAAATTTTTTTTCACTATGGGGTCTTTTGTATCGGTTCGGTATGACACCTTCATGATACCAAGGAAATCTTTGTAGTTCGTCACCGAATCACTACTTACTTGCAACACCAAGAGCCCCTTTACCAACTCAGCCAAACTGCTTCTTTTACTCAACAAAGTCTTAATTTTTTGGTTGTGGGATTCCACGGAATTGTTGGTTCTCTGACCAAGGTTTAAAGAATTGAGCCGCTCAAAACAAGACCAAGCCGACCCGTAATTCTGCCAGTTTTCCTCAAAATAGTTCAGGAATTTCTCTGATGCATGCTCTTGGAGTTCTTCAAAGCTCTTTTGATACCTCTCACTTGTTAGAGCATACACCATATTCTGCAGGATCTCCCTGACTTTATCTTTGTCTGCCTCTTCTTTTGTGGCTCTCTTAAAAGTCTCAAGTACATGCACACTGCACAAATGAATATGCACCCAAGGTAAAATTTCTTTTAGCACAGTTATTTCGTTGTAGTCTTTGTCCACAACAATTGTTTGAACCTTATCAATAAATTCAGAGTTGGCTTCTTTGAAAGCCAAGACAGATTGCCTCATGATGTCTAACTTCTCATTAGAAACTAGGCAGTAGCCTGCCGGCTTACCTTGCCCATGACGGTCAGTTACTCTGAAGACTACAAGAGGCATATTATTTTTGTTCACACAGTATGTGGTGTCCATTCCCACAACTTCGGGATACTCCTTAAAATTTTTTGCCATTTCAGGTGTTTGAAAGAAAATGAACATTATTTTCTTCTTCTTCTCAGGTAGATTCTCCTCCTCGTCTTCAGAATCTTCAGATTCTTTATCTTGCTCTTCTCCAATAATAATTGTACCTCCAGGAGACTGATTGATTTCTTCTAACACGGCAAATAGATGCTCAGTCTCCGAACCATACCTTTTTTCCTCCTGGAGTCGCAGACGGGTCCTGTAATATTGGGATAGTTAAATGATAGGCAATTTAGTACACGCTTATGGGAGTCAACTTTGAGACAACTGATGTACCTGACATTAGCAATGTCTTGGGGGGTAGTGAATTTTGAAAGGGTTGCTTGGATAAGCATAGCTTTGGCTTTCGCCCCAAGCATTTCTTCCACTTTAGTCTGTTCTTCAGGATCTAGGTGGCGCCTCTCAGGATACATGGCAAAGAGTTCGGGTTCCATAGGGTGGTTTTGGTGTTCCTCTAGGAATGTTTGAACGATAAGGAATCCTTCGGGTGTAGCATTAACTCTCAACTTAGAGCAACAGCCCATTTTGAAGGTTCTGAAACAGAAAACAAATGTTGGTGTAAAACATTTACAAAGTCAACAAGCAGAAACATTAGGTAGCAACAAACTGCACTTGCTTTTGATTCGGTCGCTGGCCGGTGAGATTTTTGTTTACTTTCTTCTGACCGAAGTGCTTACAACAAACTAATAATGTCTTGTACTTGAGTTCTGGCTTCACGAAAAAACTCCTTGGTTTCAGATTCTCGTTGTGAGTTGAAGCCAGGGTCCCACTGCTGTGGGTGTACACAGTGGATGTCTCAACCATGTACTTTTCCAAGGCATGTTCGAAGTCTGCATATGACCTATACAGCGCGCCCTCCTTCAACTTTGGAATAGTTTCATTAAACTCTTCTTCAGAGGCCTCCAAATCCATGTCAGCAAGCCAGCAAAGCCTTCAAAAAACAGAACGAGAATAAGGCTTCAATGAATGAAATGAATGAAAGGCTATTATAACCTCAACCTCACTGGAAGGAATCACTTCATTCCTTCCTTGTATATTAACGACGAAGGATAAACGATTCAATTACTTACTGTTCTCATAATCTGAAGAACACTTCTGAACGCTCAGAATCTTGTTAGAGATGTTGTTTAATCATTAAACTAAAAATAATGCACTGTTGCCGGAGCCTACTGACCGCTACTTCCCGCGCAAAGCGAACCGACCGAAAGAAGTATGGAATGGAAGAAGAAGAAAACGAAGGGGAAGGGGCGATGGAGAGGAGGTCCATTCGATATATCGAAAACCCAGATCTTCAATAATTTCCGGTTGGTCCTGCATTTAGGTTTATTTAGTGGTTTTCTTTTAATTCTACAAATAAAGATTGCGAGTCGGCGTAAAGCATCGTCAGTGTAATTAGAGTAGAAAGCCTCTGCCATAGAGCTTCATCTACACGATTGGAAAGAGATCCCTGTTTTTGACTGCGAATAGTGACCAAATGCTTGGCCACAGTTATGACTGTTGGTAATGCTTTTCTATTTATTTGCAGTTAGTGACTGCGAATAGTGTGACATTCTTGGCCGCAGTCGTGACTGCTTATTATGACTCGGCGTAATATTCGCAGTTGTGACGGCGCATAGTGCCCAACGGCTAATTCGCAGTAACCGACTGTCAATAACAACTTCGCACAAAGTTTGGGTAATCTCTTCACATTTTGCATACCCATATGTCCCATTTTTCTGTGCAGAATGATAGCTTCACTTTCACTTACTTTCTCTGTCAATAGAGATAAATTTTCCTTCTCTACATGTAGATTTACCATAAATAGTCCTTTTGTCGTTTTTGTTCCTTCCACCAGAATGTTTTCTTTTGGTATTTTAATATTGCCTTTGATTATTTGTACTCCATCTTTTGTAAAACACACAGATTTTCCTTGCTCGGTAATTGTTGAAACAGATAGCAGATTTCGGTCTAGGTCTGGAACAAAACGTATGTTCTGTGAGCCAAGTTGGTCAGTTATCATTTTACCTCTACATAAGGATTTCATGCTTAATTCCTTTTTGGCAGTCTTTATAACATCGTTGGTGGGAGTAGAGTGTTTTATTATTTCCACATTATCGGTCATGTGGGCTGTGCATCCACTGTCTACACAGAATTGTGTACAGACATGAGAGGAGCTTGAATCTGTTACGTTTACACAGCAAGATTGCTGACAGTTTCTTTTCTCGCATTTTATTGCTATGGAAGCACACAGCTCTCCACCAACGATATTTTTGCCTGAGTTATTACTGGTAGCACACAGCTCACCATGGTTTGATTTTGTTTCTGTACTTACTTTTCTCCCCTTTTCAGAAGAGTGTGATCTCTTGTCACCTTTATTATCATATTTTGGTTTTTTATACTCTTTTTGTTCATTTGATTTTGAGGAGCCACCTTGTGACTCTGTCCAAGTCCTCTTTTGCGATTGTGGTTTTTTTGAGTCGTAGAATTTGTCTCCGGGTTCAAAATGACAAGCATTTTCTGGGTGATTTGTTTTTGAACATATTTTGCATGGGGGATATGCCTTGTTTTTTTGGTTTTCTGGACAGAAACGCTGATAATGTCCGGGTTGACCACATTTGTAACATACCTTCTTTTTTGGTTTGTATCTGCTAGCTTCAGCTCGGTAGCACACAGTTTTCTTTTCTTCTTCTGGTCCTTCATGTCCTGATTTTCCTGCCGCTTTAGCCAATCGGCTGGTCAGGTTTGATAGTGTTCTTTTATTTGCTTCCGTGGCCTCCCAAGCTGAATTTATATGGTCCCATTCTTTAGGTATGGTATCCAAAATCTTCTCACACACCATGGTATCATCTATTGGTTGTTTTAAAGCATTCAATCTATATTGAATATGTTCAATAATGGCTATATTCTCCTGGGCATCTTTGGATGGATTATACTTGTAATTGTAGAAGGATCGGAGAAGTACACATTTTTGTTGAGCAGTATCCTGCTCATAGATACTCTTCAGTTTGGTATACATTTCAGATGCTGTTTCACATGATAAAATGTGTCTTTTCACTGAAGGATCAATTGTACTTAGAATAGTGGTGGACGCTTGACCATCACTTTTTTTCCACCTTTTCCTTTCTTCTATCTGTGCGATGTCTATATCTTCTAAAACCTTCGTACCTTCTACAACATCCCATATTTCTTGATAGTGGAAATAGTGCTTAATTTCTTTTGACCATAGGGGAAAGTCCTCTGCCGATTTTAACGTTGTAATATGGTCCGTATCTTTCCCCATGGCTCCAACACACCTGATATAACACATTACACAAAACAAATTAACAAACCAGAATTGTTTTAAGCAATACTGGGCCCATGACCTGTTAAGATTTGTTATAATTTGTATAATGTGACAAATAGGATAAATAAGTAATGTGGTACACAAGATTCACTTGATTTCACCTGATATATTTCTT